AGATTTGGTCAATTTAGGCATGTTGGGCTAGACTTGGGTCTAGATTGGGTTAGCCTTGGGCTAAGTCCAAATTGAATGTTGAAAATGGTCAATAAATATGCCATGAAGATTTTTCAACTTGAATTGGGTGCCAATTTTGGGGTTAAGACAATTAATTTGGTGAAATTTGGGGACAGTCAATTTGGGCAAATTTTGGGTCTTTTTTGGACTTGGGTTGAAATTAAGTAAAATTGAGGTTTCACTAAGACCAATTGAAGGTCACGTTTGATTTTTGGGAATATTATGAAGAGTTTACAACATAAATTATGGTCAATTGAGTGGGCTATGGGTTCAATTTGGTGACATTAGGTCATGTGCCCAAATTTGGGGTTTGACCTATATCAAAATTGGGCTCAAAGAATGGGCCAATTTAGCTTGGATTTGGTTTATTTTGGTCACATTGAGGGTGAATTTGAGTTTGGGATTGAAATTTGGGGATATTGGGATCAAATTGATGGACATTTGAGGTAGATTTGGGAAAAAACGGGTCTTTAAAAGGCAATTTGGGGGTTTTGGTCAAAGGTAGTCAAATTGGCCAAATTGGGTCAATTGGCCAAATTGGGTCCTGTGGTAGGTGGGGAAAATGAAATTGGGAATACTTGGGAGGTTTTGGGAATTTTTTTGAATTTTTTTGGAATTTTTGAAATTTTGGGCTAAGGAGGGGTATTTTGGTACTTTAGCAAATTTTGGTGATTTTGGGTAGTTTGGGTGTTTTCAAGGTGTTTGAAATGATTTTTGAACCAATCTGGCTATTTTGGGTAAATTTGGCAATTTTGGCCAAATTTGGGGTGCCAAGGGTATATAGGTAATTTGGGGGAGTTTATGGGCAAAAGGCTAGGTTGGGTATCATGGTAGAGTTGGAGTGCCAACCACAATCAATAAGCCATGAACCAGTGGAAACCCAATTTTGGGTCCTCTATGTAGCGGTCTTAGCTAAACCATAACCTAGGGCTAGTGGGTTTAGGGGACCACATACATGAGTCTCCCAAAAGTATCAAGGGACCAAAGCTTAGAAGTTTAAGTTTAGGATTGTGAGTAATTGTGAGAACAAGTATGTACCTTAAGCGCTAGACCAACACCTAGGGTCAACCCTAAGGTCCAGCCCCCGCATTCCTAAGGGTGCCTCATCTTGAGTTCCCCCATAATGACCTCACCTACTAAGTGTGGAGGTTAGGACCAATATGTGGAATTTCAAGTTGAGTAGAGAAGAGTTTGGAATTTCTAATGGTGAGGGTTTCTTTACTAGTTTTAGCAATAGGAAAGTCCTATGGCTAGACCTTAGGCTATTAAAGCGAAAAACACTAAACCTCAACCAAAAGTGAGGTCAACATGAAGATCCTGCAAAAGTTCAAGTTATTGAAAAATTACCACCACCGACTACGGTCAGAGTTGTAAAAAATTTTCTAGGACATGCTGATTTCTACAGGTGTTATATAAAGAATTTATCAAAAATAACTAAGTCATTATGTCAAATTTTAGAAAAAGATACAAAATTTGAATTTAATGAGGAATGCATGAAAGCATGAGGAATGCATGAAAGCATTTAGGAATGCATGAAAGCATTTAAACTATTAAAAGAGAAATTAATCACTGCACCTATAATAGTCCCATATAATTGGGAAAAATCATTTGAAATAATGTGTGATGCTAGTGGTTATGTTATTGGAGCTGTTTTATGACAAAGGCACAACAGAATTTTAAAAATAATATTTTATGCTAGTAAAGCTCTGAATGATGCTCAAATTAACTATAGTACTACTGAAAGAGAGTTTATTAGCGGTTGATTATGCCTTTGATAAATTTAGAACTTATATAATTGGAACTAAATGTAGAGTGCATACAAATCATTCTGCTATTAAATACTTAAAACAAAAGAAGGATGTTAAACCAAGGTTAATTAGATGGATACTTCTATTACAAGAGTTCGATTTTATATTACTTAATAGAAAGGGAAATGATAATTAAATAGCTCATCATTTCTCTAAACTAGAAAAGAAATATTAACTAATTTTGGAAATAACTAATTTTGGGAAATATTAACTAATTTTGGAAATGAAATTTTAGAAAATTTCTCTGATGAACAATTATATAGTATTGATGAAATGAATACACCGTGATATGTCGATATAGTAAATTATATTATAAGTTATATTCTACCATAAGATATTAAGAATCACTAATTAAAGAAATTTATATATGATTCAAAATTCTATTTTTGGGATGACATATATTTAAATAAACAATGTTAAGATCTAATCATTAGAAGGTGTGTGCCTTATGAAGAAACTCAACAAATAAGTGAAAGATGTCATGACTCTAAATTTGGAGGAGTTTTTGGAATAAATAGAACTGCTTATAAAATTTTCAAGCTGGATTTTATTAGCCTACTCTTTTTATAGATGTTAGTGAATATATCAAAACATGCGATTGATGTCAGCGAATAGGAAATATTTCTAGAAGAAATGAAATGCTTCTAAATTACACATTAGAAGCTGAAATTTTTGATGAGTGGGGATTGGATTTTATGGGACCATTTATTCCTTCATTTGGAAACTTATATATATTACTTGTTGTTGATTATATGTTCAAATGGATTGAAGTTGTTGTTGTACCTAAATGTGATGCTCAGAGTGTTTCTAAATTTTTAAATAAAAATATTTTTCACAAGATATGGAATGCTGAGAGTAATTTTTACAGATGGAGAATCCTATTTTGGAAATAAGATAATCGATAAATTGATAAAGAAAATATGATATTATGCATATATTCTCTACTGTTTATGATCCTCAGACTAGTGGTCTAGCAGAAATATCGAATCGTGAGATAAAACGAATTTTTTAAAAAACTGTAAATCCTTATAAATTGGATTGAGCTGCTAGATTAGATATTGCATTATGGGCATATAGAACTGCTTATAAGACTCATATAGGAATGTCCCCATACAATTTTATTTTTGGAACAACATGCCACTTACCAGTAGAATTGGAGCATAAAGCATTTTGGGCTATTAAAGAACTTACTTTTAATCTAAAAGATGCTGGTGAGAAAAAAAATTATCGCAACTCAATGAACTTAAGTAGATCAGAAATGAAGCATATGATAATGCAAAAAGCTATAATGAGAAAATGAAAATATGGCATGATCAGAAGATTATTAATAATAAGTTTGAACCTGGACAAGAAGTTCTATTATATAATACAAGATTAAGATTATTTCCAAGAAAACTGAAATCTAGATGGTTAGGACCATTTAAAGTGATTGAAGCCTATCATTATGGAACTGCTGTTATTAAGGATTCTAAAACTGCAAAGATATTTAAAGTTAATGGGCATCGATTAAAACATTATTATGAATGACACATACAATTTAAAGAAGTTTTAATGTTAAGTGAACTCAACTAAACAAATGATATATCAGGCTGACGACGTTAAACCAAGTGCTTTGTGGGAGACAACCCATATATAAATCAATATAAATATGCCACAATTATATTCAAAGACTTTAAAACAAATAATCATCCTTAGGGCAATCCAAAAATAATTTATAATAAATGAATTTTAATATACCTATAATAAAATACAAAATTGTTTCATTATCACATACTTATTAGTAATTGAATTTATTTAATTTCACATCTCTTAAACATACTAATTTGGTCACTTTGGTGACAAAGAAATTTAAACATAATATAGACATCAAATAAACAATAATTTCAATCAAAAAAAATATATAATTTTTAAAATAAATTAATAATAACATAAATTATTGGGTAGATAGATTAGCGAAGAAGGCCAAACTTAAAGAAACAAATTCACAGTCTAACAAAACACTAAATAATTTCTTGATTAACTAATTAACTCGAGTGATCTAATTCCAAGACCTAATTTACAACGAAAATCTAATATAACTAATATAAGTAAAAGTAATGAAAAATCACAAATTCAACAATGAAGGCTCAGATACCACATGTTAGAACTTTTCATTTGTGATCCAATTTTATGACCTAAACACTTTATGCATATAATGTTTAAGATCATTGAATTCATGATTTTTACATATTCATTTATAAGTGAAAAACATACATGTATTTATGATTGTATAATCGGATCTCAGGAGATGGAGTTTCTCTTTCTAATCCCCTGAAACTTTTTATACTTTCTGATGGAAAGAAAGACACGATTCTGTTAAGAAAAGAGAAGATTTTTCTACGAGTTATGTCTTATTTAACCACCATCAATCAGAGGGGTTACTGACTAATAGGACTTATGATCATTTAATTAATTAATTGATATTTATTATTAAGAAAATGACACATGCAAGTAATTACCGTCCATAAGGTGTTATAAAAAGGATTTAGAATAATTTAATTAATTAATTGTCATATATTTTTAAAGTAAATGACCCCCATTAGTGGGTTTGTGGGCACTGTGGGCCACAATAAAAAATTTAACATCCTGTTCATTGCTTTGCTCTCTGTTCTCTTTTCCTCTTTTCTATACTCTATTTCGTGGGCGTCTCCCACATAGTTTAGGATTCAACACTAATAAATCCTTGACTCGCACTATAACCCTATTTCAAATAAGCTAGCCCCATTTTATTTTTCTTCCCCAAAATTTTCCATGAAGAAACCCCTTCGCCTAAAAATTCAATATATAACTTTTTCTTGCTAAATTTTCATTCAAACTTACATAAAAAAGTTATCACTAAAAATTTTTCATTCAACATAAAATAATCGACTATTTTTCTTTGTTAAGTCCAATTTTTGCCCCTTACCAACCAATCAGCCCAATTAGTTCACGGCTGTTTTAGCCGATTCCTCTGATTAATCTCCATGGCGGCTCAGCCGGGCAGCATGTCTTACCAACCCCTCAAGTCCACGTGCTCCTCCATCCGTCAATTCTTCTGCCTTTCTACAATTGAGCTCTTGTCTTGTCTATTTATATACTCCTCATTCGCCCAAAACTTCTAAAATCACAGAGACATATTTACGCAATTACACAACTCATCCATGGCTGGAGAGGTGTCAGAAGTGCGGTCGGTGCCGCTCTCGCCGGTGATATCGGCCCCTCCGTCTCTGATACAGTCGCCGATGGCAGGGAGATCGCCGGCGAGGGTAACTCCTAGGGCGAGCCCGATAAGAAAAGCAGTGGCGAACATGAAAGGGTACTTGGAGGAGGTTGGCCACATAACCAAGCTCGACCCACAGGATGCTTGGCTTCCCATCACTGAGTCCAGGAACGGAAACGCTTACTACGCCGCTTTTCACAGCCTCTGCTCCGGGATCGGGTTCCAAGCACTGCTTCTTCCTGTAGCATTCATCTTCCTCGGCTGGTATAGATTCTTTATTTCTTAGCAATTATTTAATTAAGCTATAATCATAAACTTAAATGGAATTTTAATATTATATGGACGGTTTATTTCTCTCAACATGCTTCAATGCAAATTATTCTTGGCTTTCGGAAGAACTAGCTTCTTGCTTTTAAATCATCATTTTAATAATAAATATGTCATAAGTGAATATTGTGGGAATTTAGTTACGAAAAAACAGTTGTTAGGACTTTATAATGCAGAAATCTTAGGCTTCGTTTCAAATACTGTTTTCGTTCAGCCAATTCCTTTTAAAATCTATGTTCATCAAATTGGAGGAGGCCAACTATAAACTGAAACAGTCAAATTTTATTGTTCTTGCACAAAATTGAGAGGCGTTCGTCTCCTGCTACTTCACCAAACAAAAAAATTTTCCAGACATCAAAGTTCACTCCAACTAAAACAGAAGTTTATCGCCGTCTTGGGGAAGCCTTTATATTGGATTATTAAATGGAGGAGCATAGTTTTCAGTTTTTTTAAAAATACATATTAAAACCGTCGGTGTCATGTAGCTTCATCGATTGTGGAAGATATTGAGTCAATACAACTCTCTCACATGTAATTTATGCGTTTCCCCAACGACCAAAGCCTACTCGCGAATGGGGAGAGGAGAGGTTAGCAGTATACTTACACGAGCTAAGCTATTCAATAGGTCCAACTTATGCTTTATTAATCAATTAATGTGATTCAAGTTTGAAATTAAGATGAATTTTTTGAATTCGAGTCCGCTCATAACTTAATTTACATTATTACATTAAGAAAAGAATTTAGATTTAAATGATTTCCAGATAAATGATAAAGATAATAATTTATAAGAAGTTGAGATGACGAGAAATATTTTTATTTGTAAAAATTTTGCATTTTAGGTCTTAGATTAAATTTTTTGTAAGAAAATTTATAAAATTAACTAACTCAAGAGTTAATGAGTGCAAGTCAAGATTGGCTCAAGCCTAATTTATTGGCTTAAAAAAATATTTTATCCCACAATAGGATAGCTCATGAGCCTGTTTTACGTAATTATTACCTGAGCAGTGTAATTTTAAAATAAGTTATTTCATCCAAAAAATTTTTTGGAAGAAGGCATGTTACCAAAAAAAATATATTTGCTTTAAGTGTTTTACAGTTAGAATATATTATTTTTGCTCTGTGAAATTTCTCCGTTATTCTTTTTACTTGGAAATGAAAAAATTACTTTTAGTTTGATTGATTTTAAAAATACCGTATCAATTCTAGTTTGTATGCTCTTTTAAAACTGTTATTTACATGCATACCACAGGATTCTTATATATTTACATTGTAATACCTGAATTTTAATTCTTGCAATTTATAACACTAAACTTTATTTATAACATTCAAAATATCACTATTACTAGTTTATTAAAGACAAAATACACCTTCTCATAAAATGGTAAAATGTTATAATTCTAAGAATCAAAGATTTGCTGTCAGATATGTAAATATATAAAAACTGTGCAGTACCTTTGCAAATTATTCTTATATAATATATAGTAAGATTTACATAAATGCTACTCAATTTCTATGGATTTGCATAACAAACACCTAAATTTTAATTTTTACACACTTGTAACCTTACGTATGCGTGAAAATGGAATATTTCATTTTCTTAAAAAAATTAAATTGGTGATAATGTTTTTCTGATATTAAAGACCGGGGTGGTATAAATGTAAGAAAATAAATTTTAGGAGTCTTATCAAAGTAAATCGATATGAATTATGCGGTAAGCGTGTAAATGCCCAATATTATATTACGGAAATGAAATTTAAATTTATTAAAAGAATTTTGGATGCTTTATCCGCCGTTCCCACTGGTTGATCTTGATTTTTCAGCAACCTAGCTACGACTATATAAAGAGGTGGATTTTTATGTCGCGTGCTCCACCAAACGAAGCCCACTTCAGTCAAATGAAGGGAATTCGACTTTAATATAATTTATATATTAAACAAATAAATGCATTCTTATTTGTCTTTATTTATATATGCTAATAAAATATTCAGAGAGAGAAAATTTATCATGTTTACGGAACATAAAAATTATGGGCGTTTACCCGCATACTTGATTGATATAGTCAAATATAACATCTAAACTTTCATGTACAAAAGTATATATAGTACGTGACTTTTTCGTAGAGCTATCTCTCTTACGTTTGTAAGTCTCCTCAGGTAATTGGTTTGAATTTCTCATTGTGTAGTGTGTGATATTTAAATATTTAGCACACCTATGAATGATCAGACTCGTCTAATACCCTTTACTCATTCTTTATATATATATATATATATATATATATAGAACTATAACAATCATTTTTATTAACGTTTTAAAAATAGAATATTTTTTTTCATGTGTAATTTTATGAAACCAAATTATTATAAATATAAGTACAAATTTTAGATATTAGATATGTAAATTGGTATGAATTATGTGGTCGGTATATAAATTCCCTAAAATTTAACCATTCGTAAATTCTGGTCAATAAAAGATTTAAAACTTTTTGTGTAAAAAATGAAAAAAAACAGGCAGAGTAGGCCTGCAGTGCAATTAAAATAGATCCATCATGCAAGATTGCAAGTTGCTGCAAAGGAGTAACTTCTGACAGCTTGGTCCACTCTTTTTCTGAAAAGTTCACTAATTAATTTATGCTTTTAAAAAGATAATTAAATTTAACCATGCGATTATTGTTTATACTTTTCATGATAATTAATGTTAAATTAAAAAACTTTAAAGTGCTTCAAATTGTAAAGTGGTTGAAAATAAAATGAAAATTATTAAAATATTAAGTTCGTTTGTTCATCCTGCTCGAAAAAATTTGTAATAATGTAAAAGTAAATATTAAACATTTCAAGTGATTTGTGCTACTATTAACTGGATTTATTTATTATCGAGTGAAAGGTAACTAATTTCGATACCCCCAAGGCCCTAACTGAAGACAGTTACATTAGAGAAAAAAGAGTGAGACATCTCATAGCATTCGTAAAAGATGATTAAAGCAAGCCATAATAATATACTCTACGGCTCCCGTAGATAAACCTTCCGTTCATTCATTCCTATGCTAGATGCACATAAACAAAAGCTTACACACAAATCATCCGATACGAACTAAATTCTCCTTTAATCCCAAAAAAACCCCATAAAAAATAGTCAGATAATATAATATTATAATATAACCTTCTCACATATATATAATCTAAAAAAAAATTCAATAACTTTTAGGGAGATTTACGAACATACAACTATATTTATATGTATTCCCTCTAACAATTAAACTTCAATTTTTTTTTAAAAAAACATTATGCTAAATATGTTATGCGCCGTCTTATAATGCAGGACATGGGGGATAATATGTTTATCCTTGGCATTCATCTGGCAACTCTACACTCTTTGGGTACTTATTCAACTTCACGAATCAGTACCTGGAATTCGTTACAGCAGATACCTTCAGCTAACAAATGACGCATTTGGTAAGTAACCAACCCCAATACTACATATATATATAGACTCGTTATGTCAGATGTTAACATACAAAACTGCAGGAAAAAGGCTGGGAAATCTGTTAGCTTATCTCCCCATAATGTACCTCTCGGCTGGCATTAGTTCTGCCATCATTGTGCTCGGTGGTGGGAGTCTGAAGCTCTTCTTCAACCTGGTTTGCGGCCCAAACTGTGAGTCCAAGCCGCTCACTACTGCGGAATGGTATCTAGTCTTCACCTGCTTGGCTGTTATTCTCTCGCAGCTTCCAAACCTAAACTCCATTGCTGGAGTATCGCTGGTTGGAGCCGTTTCAGCTGTTTCTTACTGCACTATAATCTGGGTTGTGTCGGTCGGTCGGGGAAGGCTGGCCGACGTTTCTTATGCTCATGTGCATCCGGGAATGAGTGTTGATAGAGTGCTTGATGTCATTAATGCTATCGGCATCATCGCTTTTTCCTTTAGAGGACATAATCTCGTCTTAGAAATACAGGTAAGTTCTTCTTTTTTATTAGGAATTACTAGGTTTGGAAAGTGCAAAATTTTGCCCCAAAGAGGTTTAAGTTCCCCGGCTGATTTGGTAAATACTAAAATTATTTTTATCTAATTTATATGATAATAATTAATTTTCATTAACTTGAGAAATAATATTCAAATTTAGATCCTTAACGTTTGAATATTTTGAGTATCATTCAAACTTAGAATTTTGGGACATAATACTTTAATTAATTTACCCATTTTTAATCTATGTTTTTAATTACTAACTACATGTTTAAAATTAAAAAGAAAAAATTTAATCAATACAAAAGCTGAGTTTTTTAAAAATTGAATAAATCGAGTTAATAATCTTTTTAGTTTTTGATACCCCCAATTTTAAAAATTGAATGAATCGAGTTAATCCACATCGGCGAACTCTGCCCGACACGTGACATCCCCATTGGCCAATTTTTTTGACAAATTGAAGAATTTTAGTCAATAAAGCTACGCAGACTATTACGGGCTAGGATAATGATGTTTTTTTAGATCGGTTGAAGTATCTTGCTAGTCACTGGAGTTGTTGTTGACTGTAACAAGTCATAAAAAATCTTGAATTTAATTTGGAGATAGGAAAAGACAATCAGTGTTTATTAAATCGATCTACAGTTTAATATAAAATTTTTACAACGCACATCACACTTGTCTTTACAGCATCTATACATATTCGAATAAAAGTTCTGCTTAATTGTGATTTTACATCGGCTTATTGAAAGTTTTCTCTAAAATGTACACATGCTCGTCCCAATCTTAAAACTTGAATCTAACTAATCATTGAGTAGTCGTTTACTGAAGTTTTACTCTGCAACTCACCACAGGCGACCATGCCATCAACTCTGAAGCATCCCTCTCGCATCCCAATGTGGCGAGGAATGAAGGCCGCCTACCTCCTCGTAGCGTTCTGCATGTTTCCCATCGCAATTGGCGGTTTCTGGTCCTACGGCAACCAGGCAAGTAAATCTGCAGAAAACTCCTCCAATTCCAGTTCTACGTACCATCTTTCTCTTAAACGAGCTCTAATGACCTCAGATACCATCGAGCGGGATTCTCCAAGCCCTCTACCAATTCCACAGCCGCGACACTTCCAACGTGGTGCTCGGCTTGACCACCCTGCTTGTCGTCCTCAGCTGCCTCAGCTCCTTCCAGATCTACGCAATGCCTATCTTCGACAACATGGAGGCGGGCTACACAAGCAAGAAGAACAAGCGTTGCCCCCGATGGCTGCGATCTGGCTTCCGGGCATTCTTTGGAGCGATCGCGTTTCTCCTTGCGGTGGCATTTCCCTTCCTGTCGGATCTGGCGGGGCTCATGGGCGGGATCTCGTTGCCGGTCACATTGGCTTACCCCTGCTTCATGTGGATTCTGGTAAGGAAACCCAATAAATATAGTGCCAATTGGTATATTAATTGGGCGTTGGGGGTCCTGGGGATGGGCCTCAGTGTCGTGCTGATTGTTGGAGGATTGTGGAGGCTCATCGAGTCGGGTATCAAGTTTCGCTTCTTCAAGCCTCAGTGATTGTGATATTTAGATTTGAAACTCTTCTTTTTTTGGCTTTTGATGTGGGTGATGTGGACTGGGTGTTCGAAGCCTAATTTTATTGCATGCATATAAATATAATATTTTGAGAGAGCGAAAGAGTTTGTTCCGTTTCAATGTTGAATGAAAATTATATTGATTGATCCATTAGTAAACGCTTGGTAGTAGAATTTCATTTCATATAAGCAGTATTTCACTACTGAATTTAATTTCAAAATCATATGCCACCAATGAGTGGAATGGGTCCAGACTCTGCTTTACGAGTTTAAACTAACGGTTTGTTTGGCAACTTTTGAGATTTAATCCTAGTAAACTTCAGCAAATTTTGTAAATTTTGTTTTAACAAATCTTGGGAAAGTTAGGCTGATATTAAATAACAATATTTGAAGAAAATTTTTGAAAAATATTATAAAAGTACAACATAATAATCACAATTTTCATAGATATCCACATAAAATTCCAAAATTTTCGTTAAAGTATAGACATCAAAACTAGTATAGTGTTCCCGATCATCTTTCTTCAGAGAACATACAAATTAAACGAGATATATATTCTGAATTTTGAATAACAAACTTTCTAATTTGTTCAACAATTCATATCTCTTACATGATGGCACATAATAATTGTGAACGAATTGGAATTAAAGACGGATGAATGTAAGAAATAGTGGCAAAATCATAAAAATTGGGATATTTAATTACCTATGTTTTGTATACCTTATCAGTTTGTTATGGTGAATGAAAATATTCCTACATTCTCACTGTAACTTTTTATATGAACTAGAAATTAATAAAATTTAAATGTTGGGGGAAGTGCTAATTATCTCAAATGACCATCAACTGTTATTTTAGGCCGTCAAACAATACAGAACAAATGTAAGATATTTGTAAATGCGTGTAAGTTATATGTCTAAATAAAACATAATTTTATAGTAGGAGAATCAATAGCATATTGATTCAAACTCATTTCATGAAGCTTGATAAACGACAATTCGAGAATGTCGACAACTCTAGAAAATGGGTTGGGGGAAGAATAGATAAAAGAAACACGAATGAAGAAGACAAAGGACATTTGAGGATGTAAGGAACTATAGAAATAGAAAATTGTGGAGAAGAAGAAATAAAAAAAAAGGGAGGGAAGCTTATCACATTTTCATTTCATTTCCCAATGTCTTCCTCCAAATGGAGCTATTTAGAAGCACAAGAATTATTAATTGATTATTAACAAAATAATTAACTATGTTTATTAATCTAATATCATTAATTAATTAATTAATTAATATTTTATCATATAATTAACCATTCATTCAAAATGATCTTGTCCATAAGACCAAACAAATATTAGAAGTAACAGAAATGTACAATATTATTGAAATTGACCACTGACAAGTAAGAAATGGAAAATAAACTAAGAGAATATTCCGACGAAGAATGGACATCTTCATCTGAATTCATGGGTGGAGAAGACATTCACGAATGTGTTCCCTCCATTGTGAAATGTTGAGGGTTGTAACCTAGCCTCCAATCTTAAACTCTAATAAAACTTTTGAAGTTATTATGTTTAGAATCTCTCTAAATGAGCTTTTGTGTTACTAAATAAGTTTTTAAAATTGGAAGACATTTTCTCATAGTTCATGTCCTCGAGAAACTTAATAGTGGCATACTAGCTTGATCTTGAATTCTCTTTATGTGAAGTTATCACATCCTTGACCATCACTTAATAGGACAAATGATCAGTGCAAGTAGAGTGCGACTTACGAGGAGTGGTTGGTTTCTTTGCATTTGTTTTCTTTGGATCAACCTCCATATTTTCATTGCTCGTTCGCTGCCTCTACCCTATCGAAGGTTGGTTCTATTGAAGCAAAATTTATAGCGGGTTCCCCCACTAGACAGTTTCTTTTGTCCATTGAGAATAATCTAAATATATTACATGAGACTTGAATTGGGGCTTAAAAGAGTGTGAAATGAAGAGGAGAAAGGTCAAAGAAATACTAATCTCGGTGGAGGCAACCATCTAAGTAGGGAAATCAAGAGAGATAATGTGGCTTCCTCATTCGGTGCAAGCATAGAGCCGACAAGAAGGATTTGAGATCCAACAACAATGACTTAGTCTCCATTCTCCCACAATCATTAGGACAAAAGTAAAAAATTAATTTAATTATTTTACAAATTTGTTTGGTGGATTGGGTACATTCATTGTCGTTACTCGAAAAACAACTTGTAATTATTTAATTAAAGGACATATTGTTAACTTTGAACATGAGTCATATTATTTATTAAAATATCCTTCTTCCAAAAGAAATATGTTGTCATGCAGCCTTCTCTTTCCTCTTTCCCTCATTTCTCCCTTGATACCTAACACGCCTAAAAATTTATTATTTTTTTTTTTGCATACTTTTTATACTCATTTTTAATAGTATTGCACTTTAGAGGAAGGTATTTTACGTGTTTTTTATTTTATGTACAAGATATGGAGTTTTGGAGAATAATTAGTGAAAATGGAGCAAAATAGGGTCAAATGAAGCAAAGGAGAACAAAGTGAACTCGCGCCGAGGCAGTGACTTCTAGCTCCTAAGCGCTAGACCTTATACGTGGCCAGAGTTATTTCAGGCTTGTAGAAGGCCTGCGCCTAGATGTCACAATTGAGCACTTAGATGCCACGGTTGGGCGCTTAGATGCCAAGGTTGGGCACCTAGACACCACAGTTGGGCGCCTAGGTGGCATAATCATTTTTTTTTAAATACAATGTATTTGGACGAATTTTGAATGGACATCTGAAGTGACGCTTGAGGATTTCGAGGGTTATTTTAAGGGTGTGCCCATTTGAGCGACTCTCTTTGTCTCTTGGCCAAAAGGGTGGACTTTTTGACATTTTTAAGTCCTATAATATTCCAAGAATGCTGAGAGGTCATAAATAGGAGTAGAAAATGTAGATTCTTACATTTCCTACAGAGATTAGAGATGGGATTTTGAGAAATATCTGTAAGGGATTGTACTAGCATTATATGGATCAACATATAACTTTATTGAAGAGATTTTCATTATTCCTTTAGAGAAAAAAACTAAGTATTGTGTTCTTCATTATCTTGCAGTTGTTGTAAATACTTACCTCTTGAATTTTCTTTAATTTAATGAAGTTTTCTATTATGTGTGACACCTGTTTAGTGAAATAAAATTATTGTACTTTTCCTTTGTAATGAATTGAATGAATGTTTACGATGCTATGATGCATGTCAAAGTAATGGTTCTTACTTCATACTTAATTTAAATATTCAATCTGGCCAATTAGCATGTTAAAATTTTTTGTAAACCATAATGATCCGGGAGGGCTATGGCCTTAACAACTAGGAGGAATCACATTGAACTTGTGAGTGAAGGAAGAGTTGTCCTAATATTCAATGCAATGTTAGAGAGATATTCGTTGATGGGTGTAAATTTGTGTTTCTGGGGTACAGTTTAGATTCTTACCAATTTGATCTAGGGCTTTGTGCCTTAAATTTAAAATTGAGCCAATTAGAAGGCTATCACAAGAAGGTAACTCTATGGTGGAAGGCTAGAAAATTCATCGTGACTTTCTAGTATTTTAAGGAATCGACCTTAGGTTAACTAAGCTACGTTATTGTTGACCTCTCTTTTAGTTGAGGTTTAGTTTTTCCTCTTTAGTAGCCTAAGATCTAGCCATAAGACTTTCCCATTGACTATTCTTAGAAAACTAGACAAGGAACCCTCATCATTACAAATTCTACACTCTTCTTTACTCAACTTGAAGTTCCACATATTGGTCCTAACCTCTAGCAGTAGGTGGGGTCAGTAGGTGGGGTCACTATGGGGGAACTCAAGATGAATTACCCTTAGGATTGCTTGACCTTAAGGTTAACCCTAGGCGTTGGTCTAGGGCTTAGACACTCACTTGCAATCACTTACACTCACAATCACTCACTACCCTAAACCCAGAATTTCTAGGCTCTGGTCCCTTGATACTTTTGGGAGACTCCTGTAGGTGGTCCCCTAAACCCACTAGCCCTAGGCTAGGGTTTGGCTAAGACCACTACATAGAGGACCCAAAATGAGGTTTCCATTGGTCCATGGCTTATTGATGGTGGTCGGCGCTCCAACTCTACCAAGGCACCCAATATAGCATTTTGCTCATAAATTCCCCCAAATTACCTAGTACCTTTAGAACCTCAAATTTGACCAAAATTTCCAAATCTACCCAAAATACCCAACTTGGTCCAAAAATAATTTCAAACACCTTGAAAACACCCAAACTACCCTAAATCACCAAAATTGGCCAAATTACCAAAATACCCCTCCTTATCCTAAAATTCCAAAAATTCTTAAAAATCCCAAAAATTTCCAAAACCTCCCAAATATTTCTATTTTAATTTTTCTCAACTATCACATGACCCAATTTGGCAAATTTAACCATCTTTGAGCAAAACCCCCAAATTGCCCTTTAAAGGCCCATATTTTCCCCAAATTACCTCAAATGTCTATCCAATCTCCCCCAATTTAAATTCTAAACTCAAATTCACTTGAACTCAAGATACCTCTCCAAACTGACCACAGAGCTTTCATAAGTCCTCTCAGTGCATTCCAACTGTTTTCCCTCACCAATTTCCACTGTCGGAGTTCAATTTCGAGCTCAAAATTTTGTCGGAAACCAGGACAGAGCCTAATACACCTCCAAAATCCACCAAACTCAAATTAACTTTACCCACACCTTCACAACACTGAAAGAAGCTTAAGCCCCATCAAATTCCCTTCTCACAGAGCCCCTACCATAGCTCTAGACCAACTCCCAAATCCGATCGTGATCAAAATCATACCTAGCCCTTAAACTAAGATTAGAGACTCAATCTCTAGCCTCTTTGGATCACAACGAACGTGCAAAGACTCTCTGATCGAAGCTTCACTTCTCAGAGCAAAGGTATAAAATCTCTCCCCCTCTCGAGCCTCTTTTGATTCTCCATTTCCTTAGAGTTAATTTGATGACTTGATCACCTTATGGATGTGATCGTCTAGTTTAGGCGAGCATTTTAAAAAAAATTCATCCAATTTGGTTAAGAAATGAGAGAGATCTTAAGGCTAGAATATGAA